CGAAGGTCATCTGAAAGAGAGGAGCTGATCTCCCAGCACATAAATCTTCATATAGTGGATTGGATACACTTGCAGGCGTTCCTCTCATCCTGCTCAAAATCCCCTTACTTCATGTTAACTACATTAAAGTTGCATAAATGGAAAACCTTGGAAAGTATTTAATAACTCTAAAGAGATGGAGCAGCAGATAGCACATATTCCAGCAGCTCTTGAAGACAATCTCTAGACACAAACTTTTGCTCTGACCTTGCACTAGAGGAAGAGGTACTGACACTGCCAGATCAATAGCCTCCTTTTTGCTTATGTTTCGTTTTCACCCATGACCAGATCTGGTCTGACCTCAGTTCTCAGGTCTTTTGACCCACCAAATTGAATCCCTTTCAATTTTTTTCTCGACAGCCCCCAAAAGCATTGGACTGGTACTTTACTGATGCAAATGTAGAAGCAGATAATCCAGTTTCATCTGGTCAGAGACTGAGTTACGGCTGGAGGCTACCTATGAATCACTTTTAACATAAAAGAATATTCTCAAGAAATCCAACGGCTTCTAACTGGTAATAACTTGAAATGCCATGTGGAAACTTGTCCCAGGCAACTCCACACTTCCCTCAAACACTCAAGTTACAGTTTAAAATTAATCTTCCTTGTGCATGTTCATTTCTGCATATTGAGCCCCAAATATTTTAGTAAACAACCACTGACAAGAAAGTCCATAGCCACAACCAATATCTGGAATAATTTCCGGAAAAATAATTTTGCCATCATACATTCAGTACTAGAAGAAAGTTTGCTCTGTTAGGATGCAAATTATCAAGGCCCTAGTATATGTCCAGCTCCAAGCTGGAAACTCATTATCCTTAGGCTGAAGCCACAAAAGCCTTGACACAGGGACAGTCTTCAGGTGGAGTTTGGATGTGTTAAGGGGATGATGCAGTTGCTGCAATGGAAGCAAGCAGAACGTCCCCCTCAGACCTACAAGTACATGTACAGAGCCACTAGCAGGAACCAGAACACCCTTTGGACCCTCCTCCCTTTAACACCCACATAAAACGAGTTCATTTTCAGCTCAGCACCCAAAATCAACAGTCAGGCTGAAATCCCCGGTTCCTCCTCCTTCGCAATGCTTCTTGCTGTTGCTTACACTCCAAACTCCTTCAGGCTTGCAGCTTGTACATACATCACGGGCTCTGCCTGGTATTGCTGATCACAACAGTGATACCTTATTCAAACAATGAAAGCTTTTTTTTGGTTTGTTTGTGTGAATTTCCTTTGATGCTTAAATAACAGAAAAAAAGCCAAACAAAACAAGGCTCTCATCTGAATTACTCAGGAGAATACAGTAAGCTATTCTAGGCTGTCAGGTACAGTGTAATTAGGTGCTTTTAGAAGTATAATACCTATTTTTACCTGCTATTTATTGTGCATACTGTATTTATTGTGCTGAAAATGTTACGCCCCTGATAGACTACTGCCGATTTCTCGGTACGTTCTTGCCTAGGTGCTGCTACTACGCCCATTTTTGAGATTTGGAGACAAACCAATTGGATTCTGACATTCATTTCTCTTCTCAGAGCAGATCTTTTTGTCTGGTCGATATGTAGGACTCCTAAAGAGATGTTACACCATGTCATGCTAATCCTCCTTAGCTCATGGATTACTGACCTAATGCACAATGACAACCCCTTCGGAGCCATCATCTTGCACCGTGGTAATCTGCTGTCACACAAGTGTGCTGAAGTGCATGACCTCTGCACACCAAAGCCACTGCGCCTTCGCCACAGGAACCCCCAGGAACAAGCTGTCCCTGTGCAAAGGCACCCTCAGCTTGCACCTACTGCTGAGCTAGATCAGAAAGCTCCCCTTAACTGTAGAAGGATGCGTTTCACTCCGGGAGAGCAACACCCTTTCCCTAAAGGCTCTCAGAAACCCATGAGGTTTTCAGGAAAAGAGATTCAGGCCAGCTGCTAGCTCTGTCCTGGGGCATTGCAGATGCACTCCGAAAGCAGAGGTTTGCCTCTCCCTAGAGTGCACAGAGCTATTCCCAATGCTGCATTAGCTCCCAGAGCCAAAAGGCAGAGCCACAAGTTCACTCCCCCGCTCCAGTTTCCTGTCTGTCATGCCCACTCCCCCCTGCCCACGTAGAAAAGAAACATCGGAACAAGGCAATAATTCTTTTCCCTTCTCAAATACCTAGAAACGGAACATGAGTCAAAGCTCTAGCTACCTAGCAGCATGAATGCAAACACACCAGAGCTTCTGGGCAAACATGGAGAAGCAACTCCACAGCTTGTTTAATATATCAGCCCTTCCACTGCTTGAAAGAACACCCAGATGAAGCCTGCGCCCTCAGCTCACCTCGGCCGCGTGAGGGGCCTGAGCTCAGCTGCTGCCGTTCATTGCCCGTGCACCCTGCGGGGTCTCTAGGCTTGCGCTGCTCAGGTGGGGTTCATTCCCCCCAGTTCCTCATCAGAGAGCACCGAGGAAAGGAAACCTCTCCCAGCTTCTTAGCTAATATCTCCCTTCCTCCAAGACACTTGCATGTCTCATCCCAAAGAAAAGCCTCCCATTCAGCTTTTTTGTCTGTCTAATCTAGCACTGGAAACAAGAAGAGATTTATAAATCTAGAAAGCTGTAGCACAGAGCTTGCAAGGGGAAGCATCAAAGTTCAAGGAGGCAAAGAAACTGGAGACCCAACAGAGCTGTTTACAACATTGCAAGGATAAGCGGCCTTCAGTTAACTATTCCATAGAAACACCACTAATTCTGCTTATAGAAATTCAGAATCAGGTTCATAATAGTGAGTTGATACCCCTGACAGCACCAGGCAGCCTTTTGCAGAGCCCTTCAGCTTGAACCACCCTGCCAGGCACTCCTGACCTACAACGCAGCTTCTGAACAAGAAAGACCTTTGCTGTATGTGCTCCTCTCTAAGAGGCTGACAAGCGCTGCTTTCCAAAAGAAAACCAGGTTTGCAGACCCAGAGCCCCTGGCTGACCTGCCACCAGAAGCAGCAAGCAGACATGTGCCAGGGAGGTGATTTTTATAGCTTGTTTGCTGCCCTGGCACAATCTCACCGTGAGAAAAAGCTGCGCCTGCAGGAAAACCACAGCCAGGTACTGAGGATAAAGCAAGGATATTACCCATTTCACCTTTTAAAAAACTTGAGTTTGGGGCTTTTTGGCTAACAGAGAGAGAGAGAGAGTTGCAGTGCAAGTGCTGCATTGCAGAGAACATCCTTGCTACCACAGGTGGGTCTCGGAAAGTGAAAGAAAGCCATCAAGTAACACAGAAATTTTCCAAGTTCAAGGACATTTGTATAATCTGAGATATTCTGTTGTATGCCGTGTATGTAAGAGCCATGGAAATTTGAAATGGGCTCTGAAATAGTAAAAAACATATGTTTTTTAGTGATAATATATCAAAGAAGTGAATGAGACTATATAGCACATCTTCCTCTTATTCATAAATTTAATATGCTGAAATGCCTACATTTCAGTCTACCTGGTTACAAGATTTTAAAGTATATGTTTATAAATCATTGAGAAGAAAGACATAAAAGGAAACAAATGACAGCTTTGAATTATAGTTATGATGAATATTGTCATACTAAATTCTCTCCTCCACCCAAAAGAGCCATGAGGGACTCCTTCTGTACCACACCATGCTTTCACAAGTCAAATACAGCCACTTGTTCAATTTTGCTTTTGGGCTGAAAGTCTCCATACTTACTACACGAACTCAGCTGTAAATGAGTCAAAACCATCTCGTTGAGAATCCCATGTTTCTAGATAATTTAGGCTGAGATTTTCTGAGTTGTGCAAGGGATTTTGCTATCCAAGTCAGAAGAACTGATGTATCTGAATCCTCTGGGCAGTGTGTCAAGACTTAATCTTTTAGAGGTGTTGCTCTACAGCTACAATTGCAAGAGGAAGAGATGCTGAAACGATCGTCAAAACAATGCCTTCGTATGTCAGATCAGCCATTTTTCAACACCATGGTCCTTATTGGAGTTGTGATCTATATTAATCACCAATTCCCTACTTCAGCTCGATTGGCTGTTCCTACAAAATGGGACAACAATTTAACCAGCTACTTCTGGAACACTTGGCTGGCGTGCCCAGCTTTGCTCTGAACAAGATTTCCAGCGAAAAATGAATCCATTTAGACATGATGGCTACACATTTTGCCATATCTTTATTGCACTTTTACCACGTTGCAAACAATTCCACAAAAATGCTGCAAAAGTAAGCCTAGAGCTGCTGACAGCAGCTTTTTACCCATATATGTATATATTTACACAAAACTATCAAAAGCAAAGTTGAGAAGTAGCAGCTCAGCTATGATAGTCTAGAAAGGTAAGAGCTGCCACCTCCTTATGGACAAATAGTACAACTTGTCATTTTACATCACTTTGTAAAACCAACGTTCAAGTATTCCTGTCAATGCACAATTAGTGAAATTCCCTTCCAGTAACCACTGCGTTTATTATTATTATAATTATTTTTTTTGCCTTGAAAAGTTCGTAATGCCTTAACCCTTTAAATGCTGAGTAGCTGAGGAAAAAAAGCATTCAATTTAAATAACATACAGTGGATTAGAGCACTTAAAGGGTTAACACAGAATACTAAGTGGACTGTCACCACAAATAAAGTGTGAGTCGCAAAACTATGCCGTCCCTCTTAGTTAAATTTGGTAGGTAGGTCTGGGGTTTCATAGATATACCATATATAAATACAAAATATTAAGTAAAGGCCTCCTTTCTATACAAAAAGGACAGGAGGTGTTTTGCTATCAGACTCTTGTCTGTCAATGATCCGAGTATTTTCTGAATCTTTTCATAATCTCTCTTCAGGAACTAATGAAAAGCATCACATTAGACTTATATTTCTTAATGAACTAAGCCTTTGCAGAGTCTACACTTTACCTACTTTGGGAACAATTATATCTCATTTCTGAATTCACTGAATTCACAAAGTGGCATACACAGTCTTTTGCAAGACTTTTTTTTTTTCTCTTTGAATCTTCTTTACTTGGCTGGTAAAAACGTAGTCTTGCGATTTCACTACCTCTCAGTCGTAACAGTGTTAACATCAGTGTTAAAGTCATTTTCAACCACATTGTCATAACCATCCTTTTCTATACAGTCACTAACAGCCTTGAGGACAATCCGCAGCCGCCTGTCCATCGCCTCCAAGTGAGGCTGGTAGAGAATGGGAGCTATTTTATCTTTTAGTAAAGATTCCTTCATCAAGAGACTGAGTTTGTATTCCTCCTTGGCTAACAACTGTAATCGCAGATAGGTAGACTTCCTTATTCTAAGAGAAAAAGGAGAAAAAAATGCAAATCAGTATTTTCATCACCATTGATTTTGACAGGGCTAAAAGGCTCACAGTCAGCACAGCGACAACAGCATCAAAACCTCATCACGTGAAACGAAATGATGAGCAGCAGGCACTGTCACCGTCCTAATGAGCAGCTGGCACTGTCACCTGGCCAGTGATCTTTGGGAGCCCTTAGAGGCGGAGAGACTTTGGAGCACAGCTCTACGGCCAAGTGCAGACAGCCTTCATGTTCCTCGGCTAGGTAAGGCACCGGTGCAACATTCATGGGGTCACGTCCATCTTGGCAGTGACGCACATGATGCTTGTGGCATTGAGCTGCGGTGCAGCTGGTGGCAGCAGCTCCTCTAAATGTCACCTGTCCTCTCTGAAAATCCCAGCCACGGGCACTGTGGAAAACTGTTGTGAAGCACTTGAACAAACCGGGGGCAGTCTTGCCACTCAACTTCAGTGGGGATGTGTATTTCGTCTTAATAAAGCCTCTCTCACAACAGCCCACAGCCACGCTCCTGGAAGGTCCTGATCTTGACAAAGCACTTAACGTGTCAGTGCCAACGCTCAGGGCTAGCTCGGGTCGGGCTCGCTGGGCAGGATCATAACATGTCCTCCTCCCCACTGTATGCAATAAAAGATTCACTTGAACATTTCACTCCTGTTAGTGGAAACAACTGGATAAAACAGGAAATGACTCCAGCGATGAAACATACCTGCAGCACTGGTTTAAAGGCACCAATATGGAAAGTTCGTCATGGGAATATTTTCCAAATCTGTCAAAAGATAAGAGAAGAACGTGACAAAGGCTGTTTTAAAGACTAACTTTTTTCTTTCCCCCCCCCCCCGCCCCCGAAAGATTAGCAAAGGTATTTACCCTCTTCCATTATCTAAGTGGATAATAAATGTTTCATTTCCAAACTTCTCAAAGGTTTCATAGTGATGTCGATCCATGTTACCTACGGAATAAAAAGAAAAAAGACCGTTCTCACTCTGGCTTGCTGCTGAGCCTGCACTCCAGGGCAATACAAAAGCCACAGTCTGGCAAGAAGCCCAATGCTCCCCAAACGCGATGGCTGTGCAGGGCAGAGAAAGCAATGAACCGATCTACTGTGCTCAGTCGTCTCTACTTTGGAAACCCCAAAGTGTGCGATACTGGAAGATGGGCTGTTATGCCTCTGGGAGCTTTTCAAGCTCTCTTCAGCTTTTATACTTCAGCTCTACAGGACCCATCAGGAGACAAAATGAACCTTCCCACCCTTCAGCAACCCCTCCTGCGGTGCGCCAAGGAAACCCCTCTCAAGTACGATGGCATCTCAACTGCTTCGGGAGCCTGGTCTTCTGTGAGGTAGCCACATCCTGAGGCAGCAGAGCTTCATCACTGCACACAAGCCCTGCTGCTTCAGCCCTGGGTCAGTACGGCACGCAAAGCAGCCATGGTACGCGTGCCAGGTGCAAGGCTTAGCTTAGGGAGGGGAAAATGCATCCTTCAAGGAGGGATGTTAATCCATATGACTTCACTAATATTGTATTGAAATTTTTGAACCACGACCAAACATCCTGGTTTTCCTCGAATAAGAACTTTGTCCAAATTTCTGGATGCCTGGAAATCCAAAATGATAATATGGGCTCTACCATATGGACTAGGATGCTGCTGCAGTGGTACAGCTGAACAGCTCTTGCGTGATCTGCTTTTTAAGGTCAATCTGTGGAGTACTGGTGCCAAGCTATGAATTCTGTCTTCGTGGCAGGGGTCTTGAGTTACTTATAGATGCCACGTATGGTTTCTGAGCTGTCATTTGGCCTCTTCTGCTGCAGTCCATTGCAGAAATCTCAGTAGTGGCAATGGCAAAGCATATGTCCATGCTGGCACATGTCCAAGGATCAAGTATGTATGTTGGTACCTTACAGGTATATTAGCAGCAGCAGAACAGGTTTCATATGAGAATGTCTCAGTGTTAATCATGGAGTAGTCTTGGAATAGGTCACTGTTATCTGCTTGTTAATAATTATTTTATTCCAAACACGTTACATAAATAGGAAGAAACTCCCTGATACATACTACAGCTGACTTTTTTTTTCTTCCCTCTGACAGTTTACAGAGCAAGCAGCAGTGAATACTACTGCAGGTTGAAAATGGTGTGCCAGTAATGAACAGTCCTTGCATGTGCATCCAGGAGCCACACGTTACAACGGTAAAGCACTCACTTAAGCAAACTGTGAAGCCCTTAACTGTTGTGAAGGAGACTAGCCCGACCTGCATTCATCATCGCTCTGCATTTCTGGACATCTTTGTTCCTTTAATCTGCACTGATGGGAATACATAACCATGTAAATCTGCATTTTCTCATAATCATCTAGAAAGGCACATACAGTAAATGCAGCTTCAACTACGCTTTAGGAAACTGCTGAGCTATGCAGAGCAGTGTAGAAAGAAATGGTTCTTATTCTAATTAAATGTTGCATTTAATTTTTGAAAGAGATGAAACATACCCATTAGGAAATCAAAAACTGTCATATCCATTATATCCAGAATTCTGGTCCCACTGTCATACGGGGGTGTTTGTTTAACCTCTTCACAATAATCTGGATCAACTTCCCATCTGGAAAAGGCAATATTTTGATATTTTATGTGGCATACAAAGCTTACTGAGTATTTAAAAAAAAAAAAAAAGTTATTTTGCAAAGATCTAGTTGTATCACATTTGATTGAGGGTGGGGTCTGGTAGAGGCAGCAAATTCTTCAGGCTGCTTCCAGTAATGCAGACAACCGATAACGTCTGCGACTGATGAAAAAGGATGAAAATCACAAGATTGAAAACTATCTGGCTAATAGCTTCAAGATTTAGGAGACCAGCTGCACCATCAGTCATATGATGAAAACATCTGAGACTGGTTGAGGGCTGCTGATAGCAGTGAATCTTTCTCCCTCTGATAGGACTTAGACAGGTTCCATTGCATCCTGTCAAAGCCACTGGAGGTATCTGTCCCATGAGGGAATTATGCCATTGAAGGTCCTTTCAGGTTCAGGACCACACGCTGGAACTCCCTTCCTAGGAGATGGACCCGCTGAAGAAACGCGGATGCTCTCCTCAGCCTCAATACTTTAGATCAGGCAAGGGCAGTAACCGCAGCACTGTTTTATTTTCCTATCGCCCTTGGAGCTGGTGAACCCTTTGATCACCACTACTCACTCTGCTTTCTTGCGCTTGTGGTAGGAACGTCTCCAAGGGTTTCTCCAGGTTTTCCTTTTAGCTAAAGACAAATCGGGTAGAAAAGCAGCCAGAGACCCTTCGATCTGATCTGGTTTTCCACACAGGGCGTGCTCTGTTGAGCAGTAGTAGGAGCATTCCCCGTAGAAGCAGATGTTGTTGGCTGGCAAATAAAGGAAAAGAGTTTTAAAACTGTTTTGGTTTCGGCTGCCACCGGCAACAAAAGCGCCACGCAGCCGCCCCTCCCCCCGCCGGCGTGCGGAGGGGGATGAAAAGAAAGAGGGAGAA